CTTTGCTCACTGCCACCTCTGGCTCCCCAGTTCAAGCAATTCCCATGCCTTAGCCTCCTGAGTAACTGGGATTATAGGTGCTTGCTACCCATGCCTGGCTAATTTTTGTATTTTTAGTAGAGATGAGGTTTCACCATGTTGGCCAGGCTGGTCTCAAACTCCTGACCTCAAGTGATCCACCCGCCTCGGCCTCCCAAAGTGCTGGGATTACGTGTGTGAGCCACCTCGCCTGGTTTAATTTTTTGTATTTTTAGTAGAGATGGGGTATCACCATGTTGGTCAGGCTGGATTTTTTTTCTTTTTTTGAGATGGAGTCTTTCTCTGTTGCCCAGGCTGTAGTGCAGTGGCATAATCTTGGCTCACTGCAACCTCTCCTGCCCAGGTTCAAGCGATTCTCCTGCCTCAGTCTCCTGAATGCTGGGATTACAGGCACACGCCACCACATCTGGCTATTTTTTTTTTTTTTTTTTTTTGTATTTTTAGTAGAGATGGGGTTTCCCCATGTTGGCCAGGCTGGTCTCGAACTCCTGACCTCAATTGATCCACCCGCCTCGGCCTCCCAAAGTGCTGGGATTACAGGCGTGAGCCATTGCGTCCTGCCACAAGGATAATTTTTGAGTGAGGGGATGTATTGGGGAGCAGGCAGCCATGTGACCTTGTCTTGTGCCTGCAGCCAAGGGAGAGCTCCTGGGCTGCTTCGGGCTCACAGAGCCCAACAGCGGAAGTGATCCCAGCAGCATGGAGACCAGAGCCCGCTACAACTCATCCAACAAGAGCTACACCCTCAACGGGACCAAGACCTGGTAAGGGGTCTAGGCAGTGGGCAGGCGGTGAACAGGGGCAAAGGGACGCTGGTCAGACCCCTCACCGACTGTTCCATCCCCAGGATCACCAACTCGCCTATGGCCGACCTGTTTGTAGTGTGGGCTCGGTGTGAAGATGGCTGCATTCGGGGCTTCCTGCTGGAGAAGGGGATGCGAGGTCTCTCGGCCCCCAGGATCCAGGGCAAGTTCTCGCTGCGGGCCTCAGCCACAGGCATGATCATCATGGATGGCGTGGAGGTGCCAGAGGAGAACATGCTCCCTGGTGCATCCAGCCTGGGGGTGAGTGGCAGCCACTTTGGGAATGGGTGTTGGGTCACCTGCGGGTGCGGCTTTGTCAGGCAGGCTCCGTGCTGGGGACACAGCTCCCTGTTCCTGTGGAGCCCACACAGTGGTGATTCTTACTCAGCCGGACTCACTGATGTGCTGAAAACTGCCCCTGTTTGGTGACCGTCTCGCTCATCCCGGCTCTGCCCGGGACACATGGGCCTGAACCATCTCAGTCGTTTGACTCACAGTGCTTCTTCTGGCATCCATCAGCCTCCTAGCTTTGAGCATGGAACCCAGATCCCAGGCTGGGTGGGACTGTGTGCAAACCAAGTGAGCAGGCACCGAGCGTCGGTGCCAGGGCCATCTGTGATGTGAACCCCCTGTGTGGGGTGGCTGGGGAGGAGGCTTTCCCTGCTTCAGAGTTGGTTCTACATAGGCACTCTTGGTGTCTCTTGGGTGGGGCTGAGGTGCCATCTCAATCAACCCTACAGGGTCCCTTCGGCTGCCTGAACAACGCCCGGTACGGCATCGCGTGGGGTGTGCTCGGAGCTTCGGAGTTCTGCTTGCACACGGCACGGCAGTACGCCCTGGACAGGTGTGTGGGGGCTGCAGTGAGATCCCCTGGGGTTGTGGGGCAGCTTGGGTTTCATTCTCTACCCCATGGGTGACTCCCCAGCCCCCACCCACCAGGCCTGAGTTCCTTGCTCTGGAATGACCAGTGACGTCCTTCTGAGCAGTCATGGGCTGAGTCAACAGCAGAGCCAGGGCGAGCTCGGGGGCACTGAGGCAGCCTGGGAGGCTTCCTAGAGCAGGGGGCCCCAGGACAGGGACGGGGTGGGAGAGTGGACCTCCCCTCACCCTTACCCTGCCATTGCCCCTGTAGGATGCAGTTTGGTGTCCCGCTGGCCCGGAACCAGCTGATTCAGAAGAAGCTGGCAGACATGCTCACTGAGATTACCCTGGGCCTTCACGCCTGCCTGCAGCTCGGCCGCTTGAAGGACCAGGACAAGTAGGGGTTGTGTGGCGGGGGTTGGGGGACGGCAGCTGTGGGTGGAGGACCTTGTGTCTTTCCTGGAGAGAAAGGTCCTTTCTGCCTGGTGGCCCCGGGGACCTGAACTTTCTGCTCTCCCTCTTGTCTTTGATGGGCTGGGCTGAGGACAGCCCCACTGGTCCCTCATTGGGAGCTTGGCTGCATCAGGGAATCCCCACCCCGGGCTAGGTTTGCTTGGGGCATCGGGATGCCAGGATCCCCAGTCCTTGTTACCCTCATATGCTGCTCCCAGGGCTGCCCCCGAGATGGTCTCTCTGCTGAAGAGGAATAACTGTGGGAAAGCCCTGGACATCGCCCGCCAGGCCCGAGACATGCTGGGGGGGAATGGGATTTCTGACGAGTATCATGTGATCCGGCACGCCATGAACTTGGAGGCTGTGAACACCTACGAAGGTGGGAGCTGGACCTCAGAGGGCTCACTGCAGCCTCAGTGTCTGGGGTGGGGGTACAGCGAGGTGGTACGGGGACAGGCCTGAGTCTGACTCCACCTATCACTAAGTGACAGTGTGACCTGGGGCGAGCCTCACCCCTCTGTCCCTCATCTGGAGTTGCTTACACGGGGACTGTGGAAGTGAAGTGCTTCATGCACCACATGGAGGCCCCATCATGCCTTGCGAGGGGCTCCCAGCTCTTTTTTTTTTTTTTTTTTTTTTTTTTGACGCGGAGTCTTGCTCTGTGCCCCAGGCTGGAGTGCAGTGGCGCGATCTCGGCTCACTGCAAGCTCCGCTCCCCCGGGTTCACGCCATTCTCCTGCCTCAGCCTCCCGAGTAGCTGGGACTACAGGCGCCGCCACCTCACCCGGCTAATTTTCTTGTATTTTTAGTAGAGACGGGGTTTCACCGTGTTAGCCAGGATGGTCTCGATCTCCTGACCTCATGATCCGCCCGTCTCGGCCTCCCAACGTGCTGGGATTACAGGCTTGAGCCACCGCGCCCGGCCTTTTTTTTTTTTTTTGAGACGGAGTCTCGCTCTGCCGCCCGGGCTGGAGTGCAGTGGCCGGATCTCAGCTCACTGCAAGCTCCGCCTCCCGGGTTCCCGCCATTCTCCTGCCTCAGCCTCCCGAGTAGCTGGGACTACAGGCGCGACCACCTCGCCCGGCTAGTTTTTTGTATTTTTAGTAGAGACGGGGTTTCACCGTGTTAGCCAGGATGGTCTCGATCTCCTGACCTCGTGATCCGCCCGTCTCGGCCTCCCAAAGTGCTGGGATTACAGGCTTGAGCCACCGCGCCCGGCCTGGGCTCCCAGCTCTTTCTCCCACATGCTGGGGATGAGGAATGTTCCTGAGACAGGTAAGCTCCGAAGGCAGCCCAGGGATGAGGCCCAACTCCTAGCAGGCTGGTGGGTGTGAGCGAAGCTACACGTAGGACTCAACGCTCTATTTTATGTTAAGAGACAAAAGTCATCTTCAGATGACGGTGTTTGCACCCTGCAACTGATGGTGATTTACATGGCGGCCCAGAACCCCTTGCTTGGTGGGAAGACAGATGTGGAAAAAGATACTTAAAAAAAATAAAGTGCAAACCCAGTGTGCACTATGCAGGAACAGAGGGAGGTATGAGGACCCCCCCCCGCCGGCAGACAGGCTTCCAGACAGAGGACAGCAAATGCAGGAGGGGTGCCTTCCCTGCGCCACAGCCCCAGATCTTGTCTCTATCTGGCAGCTGGTGGGTGGGGGGATCCTACAAGTGTGAGAATGACCTTGAGGACAAGCAGAGGGCGCCGTGAGACGGTTTTATGCAGAGATGGCATGAGTCAGATTTGGTGCTTTACAGGCTGGGCGCAGTGGCTCACACATGTAATCCCAGCACTTTGGAGGCTAAGGTGCGAGGATTGCTTGAGTCCAGGAGTTAGAAGTTACAATGAGCAATGATCACTGTGCAACTGCACTCCAGCCTGGGTGACAGAGTGAGACTGTCTCAAAAAGAACAGAAACAAAGGCCGGGCGCAGTGGCTCAAGCCTGTAATCCCAGCACTTTGGGAGGCCGAGGCGGGCAGATCACGAGGTCAGATCGAGACCATCCTGGCTAACACAGTGAAACCCCGTCTCTGCTAAAAATACAAAAAATTAGCCGGGCGTGGTGGTGGGCGCCTGTAGTCCCAGCTTCTCAGGAGGCTGAGGCAGGAGAAGGGCATGAACCTGGGAGGCGGAGCTTGCAGTGAGCCGAGATCGCGCCACTGCACTCTAGCCTGGGCAACAGAACGAGACTCCGTCTCAAAAACAAAACAAAACAAAAAATAGGTTTGTACTTTAGGAAGTAAACAGAGGCCGGGCGCGGTGGCTCAAGCCTGTAATCCCAGCACTTTGGGAGGCTGAGATGGGCGGATCACGAGGTCAGGAGATCGAGACCATCCTGGCTAACACGGTGAAACCCTGTCTCTACTAAAAATACAAAAAACTAGCTGGGCGAGGTGGCGGTGCCTGTAGTCCCAGCTACTCGGGAGGCTGAGGCAGGAGAATGGCGTGAACCCGGGAGGCGGAGCTTGCAGTGAGCTGAGATCCGGCCACTGCACTCCAGCCCGGGCGACAGAGCCAGACTCCGTCTCAAAAAAAAAAAAAAAAAAAAAAAAAAAAAAAAAAAAGGAAGTAAACAGAATTGGCTCTAAAAAGGAGGCTACAATCTTGCCTTCTGCTCCATGGAGCTAGGGAGGAGCAAAGGATGAGACACCAGGGCGTGAGGTGTGGGAGAAGCGACCTCTTCTCTGGGAGAGGTGGCTTCAGGTGGGCAGAGGTCAGCTGAGGCAAGTGACTGCTTTTCCGACGTGCTGTCCCTCCCGTCCCTCCCAAGGGTAAGAAAGGGCCTGCTGTGTTTCTCTGGAGCTCAGGGGTGCTTTTAGCCTCTGCAGCAAGGAAGCATGGCCAGGTTGAAAATCAAACATTTAATAAACTGTGGGCCTGGGGGTGAGGAGAACTTGCCAAGGGTGGGGAGCATGAAGGCTGGGCCCATGGCAGGGGCTGGACTTGCTATGTTTTGGGAGTTCAGCACAAGGAGCTTTGGGTTTTTGTGTTTTTTTTCTGCCAAGATGCATTATAGAACCATGAAAAACAATTTCTCAGTGTGGCCCAAATGGTGGCCTCACAGTCTTCTGGAGGCTGTCACTAAGGCGTGAGTCTCCCGGCAGCTGTCAGCATTCACCATCTCTGTGGGTCTGTTCTTCTGAAGCAGTGGCCTGGGGGGACATGAAAATTCATTTTAAAGGAAGTTGTGAGCCGTGAAGACTCCAAACCAACTCTATATTAATCTTGTCCAGGTACACATGACATTCACGCCCTGATCCTTGGGAGAGCTATCACGGGAATCCAGGCATTCACGGCCAGCAAGTGAGCCCGTCCCATCAGGGGCCCAAAACTCTGAAGCCCCTTTCTGGAGAGAGGCCTGGCTGGACCGCAGGAGCGCCATGCTCTGAGAGGGAGGTGGCGGATGGCGTGGGAAGTGAGAGACACTGATTTTTAAATATCAAAATTTCCCTTTGAAGTCGTTCGGATGTGTTCCTTAAAAAGAAGATGGAATTCTCTGTAGAGCGTCTCAATCCACTTTTAACCATGGATGAGAACAGACTCCATTTACCCTGAAATAGCAGCTTTTCTTGAGAGGAGAGTGACATTGAAGCAACTCCGTCTGCTCCAGCCGACCCCTCACACCGAGTTCACAGTGTGCCCTCCGTCCCTCCCGTCTGGGGGTAGTGCCTTATGCTGGGTGTTGGAGCGGAGTGAGGGAGAGGAAAATAAAGAGCTGCACATCTGACCCCAAGGTGTCAGGCCAGTTTACTGGTAACCACCTGAGAAGTAGTTTCAGCCACGGAAGAAACGAACACGTCTGGGGGCTGTGAGTCGCTGGGACGTGGTGGGGACTTCCCCCTAGAGTGGTCTGGCCCCCGTCTGAGTCTTAGGCTCTGGTGTGAAAAAGAAACCCAGGTTAGCAGTGACAGGCTGTGCCAGGGCTGCAGGGCTCAGGGCTGTGGGCAGAGGGGATGATTTCTGAGTGGCAGGGGTGCAGGGGACTTTGTCCTTTCTGTCACCACAGAGCTGCTCATACAACAGTGGGACATGACAACGGGTTGGCTTCTCAGCTCAGACACACCATGTTATAGGGGACCACAAACAAGATGGTAAGTGCACCAGGGGCTTTGCAGGGACTGTGGCCTGGTGGGGTCAGTGCTGGGTGCCTGGTTTCTGTTCACATTTACTCTTGGCTGGGCCATCCCTGTCCTCTTCCTCAGGCAGCGCCCCCCATGTGAGTTTCCTCATACCTCAGGCTGGAGACACAGGTCTTTGTACACAGTCTCCACGCTGTGGCAGACTTGTTTGAGCTCTGTCTCCAAATGGCTGATCTTTGCCATTTTCTGGGTGAACTCTTGGAGCTTTTCCTGGATGATCTTGTTGTGGTCATTATAAATCTGATAGATCCTCTCCTCTAATTTCTCTGTCAGATCCGAAACCTTTTAAAGAATAAGATGTGTTCTTGGAAAATCAAACAAGAGGTATCATAAGACATATGTGTTAAGTGGGTTTCTTAGATTTCTGTAATTTATCTTATGAATATGGCAAAATAGGCCGGACATGGTGGCTCACGCCTATAATCCCAGCACTTTGGGAGGCAGAGGCGGGTGGGTCACTTGAGGTCAGGAGTTTAAGACCAGCCTGGCCAACATGGTGAAACCCCGTCTCTACTAAAAATACAAAAATTAGCTGGGCATGGTGGCACATGCCTGTAATCCCAGCTATTCGGGAGGCTGAGGCAGGAGAATCACTTCAACCCAGGAGGTGGAGGTTGCAGTGAGCCGAGATTCCACCACTGCACTCCAGCCTGGACAAGAGTGAGACTCCGTCTCAAAAAAAAAAAAAAGAAAGAAAGAAAATGGCAAAATAGGCCAGGCATGGTGGCTCATGCGTGTAATCCCAGCACTTTGGTAGGCCAAGGTGGGTGGATTACTTGAGGCCAGGAATTCAAGACCAGCCTGGCCAACATGGTGAAAACCCATCTCTATTAAAAATATAAAAACTAGCTGGGCATGGTGGCATGCGCCTGTAATTCCAGCTACTTGGGAGGCTGAGGCAGGAGAATTGCTTGAACTGGGGAGGTGGAGGTTGCAGTAAGCCAAGATGATGCCATCGCACTCCAACCTGGGCAACAAGAGTGAAAGTCCATCTCAAAAAAAAAAAAAAAAAATTAGCAAGGCATAGGTGACGGGCACCTGCAGTCCCAGCTACTCGGAAGGCTGTTGCAGGAGGATCAGTTGAGCCCAGGAGTTAGAGGCTACAGTGAGTCATGATCACACTAATGCACTCCAGCCTGAGTGACCCTACCTCAAAAAAAGAAAAGAAAAACACCAAAAACTAAAACCCAGTGCAGTGACTGGGGGTCAGATTGCCTATATGTTAAATTTTCTTGTTTTCTTGAGGCGGAGTTTCACTCTCGTTGCCTAAGCTGGAGTTCAATGGCATGATCTCAGCTCACTGCAATCTCTGCCTCCTGGGTTCAAGGGATTCTCCTGCCTCAGCCTCCCGAGTAGCTGGGATTATAGGCGAGCGCCACCACGCCCAATTAAGTTTTTGTATTTTTAGTAGAAATGGGGTTTCACCATGTTAGCCAGGCTGGTCTCAAAATCCTGACCTTAGGTGATCCACCCCCAACCCCCGGCCTCCCAAAGTGCTGAGATTACAGGCATGAGCCACCGCACCTGGCCTGTTAAATTTTTTTAACAGGCAAAAGTATATACAGTCGTGTGCTGCCTATTGACATTTTGGTCAATGTCAGACTGTATATACAATGATGGCCCATAAGAATATAATGCCATATTTTTACTGTACCTTTTCTGTGATTAGATATATTTAGATACACAAATACTTACCATCGTGTTATAAGTGCCTACAGTATTCAGTATGGTAACAGGTAACAAGCTGTGTGCAGGTTTGTAGCTTAGGAGCAATAGGCTCTTCCACGTAGCCTAGGTGTGTAGTAGACTATACCATCTAGGTTTGTGTAAATTCACTCTATGATGTTCAGATGATGACAGTGTCACCTAGGGATGCATGTCACAGAACTGTACAGGACAAGCTCAGCCAGGTTAGGAAGAAAGTACACAGAATAGAAGAGGCATCCAACAAAGTGGCCTCTGGGTGGTGTATCAAAAAAATAAATAAATAAATAAATGTTTTTGTATCTTTTCTACTAGAGGCCAAGGCAGCGGGGTGAGGAGTTCAAGACCAGCCTGGGTAACATAGCAAGATTCCAACTCTACAAAAAAATGTTTAAAGAAAATTAGCTGGGCAAGGTGGTGCACACCTGTAGTCCCAGCCACTTAAGAGGCAGAGGTGGGAGGATCACTTGAGCCCAGGAGTTTGAGGCTCCAGTGAGCTATGATCGTGCCACTGCTCTCTAAGCCTGGGCGATAGAGTGAGACACCACCTCTAAAACTATAAATCAATACAACACAACACAACAATACAACACAACAACACAACACAACAATACAATACAATAAAACAAGTGAGCCGGGCTTGATGTTGCACACCTATAGTCTCAAGCTACTCGAGAGGCTGAGATGAGGATTGCTTGAGCCCAGGAGATCAAGATTGCAGTGACCTATGATTCCACCACTGCACTGCAGCCTGGGCAACAGCAAGTCTTGTCTCAAAAAAAAAAGAAAAAAGAAAATAATCTGTCATCAAGACACCTAGAATCAGCAAGCTGTCCCACTCACATGACCCATTATGTATTTTTTTGTTTGTTTGCTGGAACTATAGGCATGTGCTACCATGCCTGGCTAATTTTTTTTCGAGACAGTGAGCCAAGATCGTGCCGCTACTCCAGCCTGTGCAACAGAGCGAGACTGTCTCAAAAAAAAAAGAAAGAAAAGAAAACCAGAAAGAAAGAAGCAGTCTCCTTTTTCTTCTTCTTCTTCTTTTTTTTTTTTTTTTGAGATGGAGTCTCGCTCTGTCACCAGGCTGGAGTGCAGTGGCACAATCTCAGCTCACTTCAACCTCTGCCTCCCAGGTTCAAGCAATTCTCCTGCCTCATCCTCCCGAGTAGCTGGCATTACAGGCACGCACCACCAGGCCCAGCTAATTTTTGTATTTTTAGTAGAGACGGGGTTTCACCATGTTGACCAGGATGGTCTCCATCTCCTGACCTTGTGATCCCCCCACCTCAGCTTCCCAAAGTGCTGGGATTACAGGCGTGAACCACTGTACCTGGCCCCTATTTATTTATTTTTGAGACAAAATCTTGTTCTCTGGCCCAGGCTGCAGTGCAGAGTGACTGCACCAAGCCAATTTTTCTATTTTTAGTAGAGATGTGGTTTCACCATGTTGGCCAACCTGGTCTCTTAACTCCTGGCCTCAAGTGATCCACCTGCCTCAGCCTTCCAAAGTGCTGGGATTACAGGCATGAGCCACTGTGCCTGGTCCCCCCATTATATATTTTGAACAGGCATCAGGCGCAACCATTCATGTAAGACCTGAACATCACACCAGCTTTTGTAAGACGTAAGCCCCAGGCATGTTGAAAAACCTCCACTGCCCCATCACAGCCCATTCGATGGCTTCTGCTGGACATACGGTTGTGACAATGCAAGTTATGCCTTGACCCCCTACTCCCATGGCTGCTTGACCTTGTGTGAAGTAAGAGGGCTGGGTGTTGGAGGCAGGAGGGTATCCAATGCCCTGCTCCTTCAGCCTGGCTCTCTCATCAGGCAAATCATTCATTTCCAAGCCTTATCTATAAAATGGGTCCAATCTCTTCACTGTAGGACTATTCTAAGGGTAAATTGAGATACAGATGGTCCCCAACTTACTACAGTTCAACTTACTACATTTTTCACTTATAGCATTTTCAACTTGCAATGGGATTATTGGGATGTAGCCCCATCATACATGGAGGAGCGCCTGTGCTGTGTGTGAATGGCCTAGCACCGTGCCTGGTGTACAACAGACATTCATCAGTGGTTCATTCCCTCCCCTTTTGCATAAGGAATCCCCCCTCTCGCTGGGTGAAGTCTGTCACCTTGGTCTTCAGGCTGTTCCTGAAGTTGGTCATGAGCGCATGGTCCTTTTGCCGGCTCTCGTTGATGTTTTCGATCAGCTCCTGGGCTCTCTTCTGCAGGATGTCGATGCTTGAGTCCAGAGAGGAGAAGTAGAGTCCCGACTTCCCTTCCAGCACTGTCAGCTGGCAACTGGCACTGGAGATGGCGACACAAGGGCAAGAAACCTGACTTCACAGAGTACAGGATGCGGCCGGGTGCGGTCGCTCACGCCTGTAATCTCAGCACTTTGTAGGCCGAGGTGGGCGGATCACAAGGTCAGGAGTTCGAGACCAGCCTGGCAACATGGTGAAACCTCGTCTCTACTAAAAAAACAAAAAACAAAAAATTAGCCCGGCACAGTGGCATGTACCTGTAGTCCCAGCTACTTGGGAGGCTGAGGCAGGAGAATTGCTTGAACCCAGGAGGTGAAGTTGCAGTGAGCCAAGATCATGCCACTGCACTCCAGCCTGGGTGACAGAGCGAAACTCCATCTCAAAAAAAAAAAAAAAAAAAAAGTACAGGACACTGAGATCAGCACCAGACTCTTCCAAGACTAGCTGATCTGAGAGAGCTACATGGTGGGAGGGGACCCACATTGTTGCCTTCCATGGGTGATACGAGGCATGCTTCCTAGGTTATTCCATTCACACACATGCCCTGAACGATGAGAATGGCACCGCATTTTATAGCTGAGAAAACAGACCAAGACGCACGACTAAATATGCACAAGGTTCCAGACCAAGGAGGTCTGTCTGACCCCAAAGCCCACTGTTATTTTATGACACCAACTCGCTTCTTTGGAATACCAATAATAGTATCAATGCTTTCTTTCTTCCTTTTTTTTATAGAGACAGGTCTTGCTCTGTTGCTCAGGCTGGAGTGCAATGGCACAATCATAGCTCACTGCAGTGTCAACCTCGCAGGATCCAGTGATCCTCCCACCTCAGCCTCCTGAATAGGTGGGACTACAAGCACGTGCTACCATGCAGAGCTAATTTTTAAAATTTTTAAATAGAGACTGGGGTTCACTATGTTGTTCAGGCTGCTCTCAAACTTCTGGCCTCCCAAAATGTTGGGATTACAGGTATGAGCCACTGTGCCTGACTGATGTAATCAGCAATCTCCTGCAACCTCCACCTCCTGGGTTCAAGCGATTCTCCTGCCTTAGCCTCCCGAGTAGCTGGGACTACAGGTGCACACCATCACACCCAGCTAATTTTTGTACTTTTAGAAGAGACAGGGTTTCACCATGTTGGCCAGGCTGGTCTCGAACTCCTGACCTCAAGTGATCCTCCTGCCTCGGCCTCCCAAAGTGCTGGGATTACAGGGGTGAGCCACCGCACCCAGCCTGATGCTTTCTTAAGTGACCGTCCTGTCATTAACCTGCTGCATCCCTTTCCAAACCTACTGGGTGATGTTCACCACCTGGGGCTACAGAGTACTTACACCTCCTTGCTCCCACCAGGTGAGGTAAATACCTGTTGAATTACATTTAAAGAGCATTTAAAGAAATGTGCACACACGCAAAAAGTTGTTGATCCCATGCTGTACATGTAACTAATGATATAATTCAAATATTGTGTTAACCAGTGAAATAGTGGCAGAAGAGTGACAACTGTCTAAAAAGCTAAACAGAATGAAAAATGTTGAGTAATATGTAATGTTATGTAACTTCATAATATTCAATGTAATAAAATGGAACTTCGGTTGGGTATGGGGGAGATGACTAAAATTGAAGCAAAGATCATAAAAATCTAGAAAAATTCTGCATATAGATTGCTCTGCCAAGGTTTTGTTCTCTGCTTTAAAAACAGAACTGGGGCCAGGAACGATGGCTCAAGCCTGTAATCCCAGCACTTTGGGAGGCCGAGGTGGGTGGATCACAAGGTCAGGAGTTCGAGACCAGCCTGGCCAAGATGGTAAAACCCCATCTCTACTAAAAATACAAAAAATTAGATGGGCACAGTGGCGGGCACCTGTTATCCCAACTACTCAGGAGGCTGAGGTAGTTGAATTGCTTGAACCCAGGAGGCAGAGGCTGCTGTGAGCCAAGATCGTGCCACTGCACTCTAGCCTGGGCGACAGAGCAAGACTTCATCTCAAAAATAAATTAAATTGGCCGGGCGCGGTGGCTCAAGCCTGTAATCCCAGCACTTTGGGAGGCCGAGACGGGCGGATCACGAGGTCAGGAGATCAAGACCATCCTGGCTAACACGGTGAAACCCCGTCTCTACTAAAAAGTACAAAAAACTAGCCGGGCGAGGTGGCGGGCGCCTGTAGTCCCAGCTACTCGGGAGGCTGAGGCAGGAGAATGGCGGGAACCCGGGAGGCAGAGCTTGCAGTGAGCTGAGATCTGGCCACTGCACCCCAGCCTGGGCGACAGAGCGAGACTCCGTCTCAAAAAAAAAAAAAAAAAAAAATAAATAAATAAATAAATAAATTAAATTAAATTAAAATAAATTAAAACAGAACTGAAAATTGTGGGTAATGCATTGTGAATGAAGTTTATACTGTGATCTGATAAGGCAACCCATTGGTATTTTATTTTATTTTATTTTATTTTATTTTTTTTTTGAGACGGAGTCTCGCTATGTCGCCCAGGGTGGAGTGCAGTGGCCGGATCTCAGCTCACTGCAAGCTCCGCCTCCCGGGTTTTTACGCCATTCTCCTGCCTCAGCCTCCCGAGTAGCCGGGACTACAGGCGCCCACCACCTCGCCCGGCTAGTTTTTTGTATTTTTTAGTAGAGACGGGGTTTCACCGTGTTAGCCAGGATGGTCTCGAACTCCTGACCTCGTGATCCGCCCGTCTTGGCCTCCCAAAGTGCTGGGATTACAGGCTTGAGCCACCGCGCCCGGCCGGTATTTTAAATTAAGACATATTTTTTCTTCTTCTGATTCTCTGGTTTATTTGACCTGTTTGATGTCTGATCAGTTAGTGGTTCTGGCCAGGTAGAGCTGCCCCTGTGAGTCACAGCTAATATTTCCTCAGCCATGTTCCCGGCACTGAGCTAAGCCACATGCCTTTTCTTCGTGCAGCCTCACGACCACACTTGGGTCGTCTGCTGTTCTCTTTACTTTATGGCTGAGGACATGGGCTTAGAGTGGTTACACCACCTTCTCAAGGTGGAGGACAGTCTGTGGTAGAGCTGGGCTTTGTACCCACTAGGCCTGACTTCCCAGCTGGTATCCTGCTTCCTACTAAGGCACTCAGGTGCCACTCCCCTCCTGGATCTTACATTTCCTTGTCGGCCTCTGAGGTCCTCCAGCTCTGAAAGGCCAAGCCCTGTAGGTGTGGACAGAGCAGTTCCTGAATGCAGCAGGTCACACAAAACCTTAAAGTCAGCTGTGTCCACAAGCAGGTTACTGACTACTTAGAAAAATAAATCTTGGCCAGACATGGTGGCTCACGCCTGTAATCCCAGCGTTTTTGGAGGCCAAGGCTGGTGGATCACCTGAGGTCAGGAGTTTGAGACCAGCCTGGCCAACATGGTGAAACCCCGTCTCTACTAAAAATACAAAAATTACCCGGGCATGGTGGCATATGTCTGTAATCCCAGCTACTAGGCATGCTGAGGCAGGAGGATCGCTTGAACCTGGGAGGCAGAGGTTGCAGTGAGCCGAGATTGTGGCACTGCACACTAGCCTGGGCAACAGAGCAAGACTCCGTCTCAAAAATATAAAATAAAGAAAAATAGGCCGGGTGCGGTGGCTCAAGCCTGTAATCCCAGCACTTTGGGAGGCCGAGGCGGGTGGATCACGAGGTCAGGAGATCGAGACTATCCTGGCTAACATGGTAAAACCCCGTCTCTACTAAAAATACAAAAAAAAACTAGCCAGGCGTGGTGGCGGGTGCCTGTAGTCTCAGCTACTTGGGAGGCTCAGGCAGGAGAATGGCGTGAACCCGGGAGGCAGAGCTTGCAGTGAGCGGAGATCAGGCCACTGCACTCCAGCCTGGGAGACACAGCGAGACTCCATCTCAAAAAAAATAATAATAATAATAATTTTCAGCTATCTGAACCAGGCACAGTGGGCTCATGCCTATAATAGCAGCACTTTGAGGGGCTAAGGCAGGTGAATCGTGAGCTCAGGGTTTTGAGACCAGCCTGGGCAGCATGGCAAAACCCCATTTCTACGAAAAACACAAAAATTAGCTGGGTGTGGTGGCGTGCACTTGTAGTCTCAGCTACTTAGGAGGCTGAAGTGAGAGGATCACTTGAGCCCAGCAGTGGAGGCTACAGTGAGCTTGATCATGGCACTGCACTGGAGCCTAGGTGACATGACGCCACTGCACTCCAGCCTGAGCGACAGAGGGTGACCCTGTTTCAAACAAAACAACCACAACACACAAATACATCCCTCCCTTCCCACCCAGTCTCCCCCAGCCAACCACCTCCCTCTTCCCTCCCCATCAAGGCCAGGGTTCTAGAAGGAGCTGCTTACACTTTCTGGGCTTTTTTTTTTTTTTTTCAGACGGAGTCTCGCTCTGTCGCCCAGGCTGAAGTGCAGTGGCGTAATCTCGGCTCACTGCAAACTCTGCCTCCCGGGTTCACGCCATTCTCCTGCCTTAGCCTCCCAAGTAGCTGGGACTACAGGCGCCCACCACCACGCCCGGCTAATTTTTAGTAGAGACGGGGTTTCATCGTGTTAGCCAGGATGGTCTCGATCTCCTGACCTCGTGATCCTCAGCCTCCCAAAGTGCTGGGATTACAGGCATGAGCCACTGTGCACGGCCTTTTTTTTTTTTTTTTTTTTTTAAAGAGAGAGGAGGGTCTCACCCTGGGCTTCTTTTCTTTTCTTTTTCTTTTTCTATTTTTTTTTTGAGACAGAGTCTCGCTCTGTTGCTCAGGCTGGAGTGCAGTGGCGCGATCTCGGCTTACTGACCTCGTGATCCACCCGCCTCAGCCTCCCAAAGTGCTGAGATTACAGGCATGAGCCACCACACCCAGCCATCCTGGGCTTATTTTCTTACCCCTCATTCACTTTTCAGTCCATTGCAATCAGATTCCTACCCCGGTTCTCAAATGAAACAGCTCCTACCAGTCCCCATGACCTTGTGGTTACAGCGGTAGACATCTCAGACCAACATGCTGACCTCTTGGCAGCAGCCAGCACTGCTGACCACCCTTCCCTGCTACTCCTGACATGTGGTATCCCAG